CCTGCCCCCCCCCCCCCCCCCCCCCTCCAGTCTTCCAGAAATTAAAGCAAACGTCAGATGACTCCGCCGCGCAGAAAAGCGACTTGTTCTCCTTGTCGTGGCTGCTAAGCAAACACTGAGCTGCTTTATATCAAACGCTACGCACCGGAGCTGCTTGGCTGGATGGCCTCGTGCCGCACATCGGCTTCATTTTTATCCCGGTGCTGGCTGGGGGTTCAGCCCTGCTATAGACCAGGGACGGTCCGACCCAGCACAACAGAGCATGGAATTTTCAAACCCGTTCTTTTCTTCTCCTTGCTTCTAAGCCTCTCAGGGAGGAGGGATATCAATAGAGACAGAATTCCGCTGCTTTGCCCAATCGTTGTACTTTGTCTTTGGAATTTGGCCTTAATATTGGGATTAATAGCCCTACTGTTGCAAATTCCCTGGAGAATTACTGTATTGGGTAATGCTCAGGAGATCCTGCTCCTAAGCCTTACCTATGAACAGAGTGCGTTTCAGTACTGGCGATTTACTCACAGGTGTGTGAGTAAGCCACAAACCACACCAGTCAGACTCCCAGTGTGCACGACTGCAAAATGTACACGTTGGACACCCATGCAAAGAGGCTCATCAAGGCTTCAGAAGTCCACCGTCAACAAATCTTCAATCTTACGAGCAAGGTTTGTACCAAGAGGTAACATCTTTCATTCAACCAGCTGATACAGCTGGAAAAATTGGGCTGTCTGTGAGGTTTTTCATTTTTACACACCATATGAAAATGCCACCCATAGCAAAGCATAGCACTGAGCATCTCACTCCTTACATAGCTGCAACTGTTGAACTGTTGATCCATAGCTGTGAATTGCTTAGGGATACAGCTCTTGTATGGGTGCTAAATAACCCCAAAGTTACTGCCAACTTTTGTAGGCACAGCATGAGCCCCGTTACCTCCCATGACTACTGCACAAAGTAATTATCTAAGACAAGGAAGGTGTCTCTGTGCTGTGCCTTCTAACACTGTTACTTTTCTAGTGTAGACAGCCTTTTTCCCTCTTGTTCAGGTAAAGGTGTCAGCACAGAGCTACAAAGATTTCATTCTTGATTTGCTAACCAAATTCTGAAACATCACAGCACACCTCTACACAGTCAGCCTCACCTCGGTGTACCGCTGTTTCCTGGGGTAGCCCTGACTCCAGAGAAAACAAAGAATGTCTCAGACTGAGATTAAAAAAGTGCTGAGAGAATATGAAAAAAATCTGCTCTCTCATACTTTCCGGTTGCATCCCCATAAATCCAGATGCTTGCGTGTTCGATTGTCTCACCAACGCGATGTTAAAAGCTCATGAAGGCAGATCGAGCAAAGTGGGAATAAGAAAAAGAAAAGCAGACTCTCTTAGACATTTTGTATTAACTCCTTATTATGGGGAAACAAATACGAAA